TGTACAGATGAATCTGTAAAAATTGAAAAGTTGAATACTTTCTTTAGATTCAAATTTCAGTTTGTAGCATGTAATAAAAATGGATGTTCTTCAGCAGGGACAAGTGAATGTTCCACAACCTACAAATTATCAGGTACACAGCAGTAAAAATGCTTGTAGACTATTTATCTGGATGCAGTTAGGCTTAATTTCATGATTGAATAATTCAAGCTAAATATTTTTACCTACAGACAAAGTATTTGGGCCAGATGGTAATCTTGAGATATTAAGTTCCACTGATACAACATGCAAGATTCAGTGGACTAAACCTAAAATCAGTTCTGGAAATGTAGATTATTATATTAAGTATTATATCAACGGTAATTTATCTTCTGAAGTTTTCGAAAACTTCAGAGAATCAATATCTAAACCACTTACAGAGATTCAAAATCTTCAACCAGGCATTAAATACAATATTAAAGTGGGTGCTATTAAGGGCCAGAAAATGTCTAAAAAAACAGTCGATACAATATGCGACACTCAACATACAAAAGGTTTGTAGAATTTTTATAGCTATTTTAATAAATTAAGAGAAAAGTAGAGTAGATATATGAATTTAATTTGTTGTAAAATGTGTCTTAATTATAGACATAGATGGTAAATTTAAAGGATGGGCTCAAATTTCTAAAATTGAAGATTCCAGGATCGAACTTACGATTCCTTTTAATAAGAATACGTACTTGCAACCTGATATTTCAGTTTTAGTAGAAGAGAAAAATTCTCCGACATTTATACCAACGGATGATTTTTCTTATGAAAGATCAAAATTCTTAGTTGTGAACGTTTCAGAACTTAAAGCAAGAACTTTATATAGATTTCGAGTTGTTGATAAAAGAAATAGAATATATTTCGAGAGCAACGATGTTAAAACGATTGGTATGGATTAATTTACATTATCTCCTCTTGATTATCTAATGGATTTCCTTGCTGAGGGATGAAAAATTGTAGAAAACATTCGTAATCATAAATTTTTTAATTACAGACAAAATTTTTGAAAGGGCAGGAAATATTAAAATTTATAAGGTCGAACATTCTGTAGTCTGGTTAATGATTCCTATAAGAAATAATGAATACCTTGAAACGGATTTTTTGGTTTTTATAAAAAAGGATAATATTTCAAAATTTAAAAAGACTGATAATGTTATTTACATGCAGGCTGTAGATACTTTAGTTATATTTGTTTCTGGACTTTCTTTAAATACGAAATATCAATTCAAGGTTGAAAATATAAGGAAATATATTTCTTACGAGAGCACAGAAGTTACAACAAAGAAGAACGCTTTAGGTGCAAATATAATTAAGAAATCTCAAACAGTACCCGACTGAAAAAGTTCTATAGTGAATTACTAAAATATTCACTAGAATTCATATAGAATGATTCTAGTGAAATTCATTAGAACTTTTCCAGCTGGGTATATAATATTTCATTATGATTATTTCCCAGAGTTATTAACCTTTTTATCATGAACTTTGGAGTTTTATTTCTAATTACTATGAATTAGAATTTTACCAAATGATTGTATTTTATTCTTAGGCGCACCTAGTAAACCGATGGAGAATATGTTTTATATTTCATTTGAGAAGAATGAAGCAATTTTAACGACAAAGGAACATTGTCATTGGAAAGATATACAGACATGGTACCGTATTCAGCTTCTTCAAGTAGATGGAAATAATGAAACTTTTATTGAAACAGCAGTCTTAGATTCAGATACTAATTCCAATCATTTTACTAATCTCATACAAGGACGTAAATATAAATTTAGAATTAAAGCTCAGAATAGAATGGGAATTTCTGAATCTATAGATACTAGAGAATACATAGCAGGCAACTATAAAAGACCAATTGAGGTCTTAAATTTTACGGACACAACATGCACAATTTTATGGAAGAAACCAGCAAATGCGATTAAAGATATGGTTAACTATATACATGTTATCGACCAGGGCGATAGAAATATTAAGACAAGTTATATGTTGGCTTCACCTGGAATACCTTTTACGATTGTTGAACTTCAACCTGGAAACAAATATGCCTTCGCCATTTCGACAGAGGAGCCAACACGTTCTCCGTTCGTTGAAACAGATTGTACAACAACACCTGTTAAAGGTACTTAATTATCTTATAAGCAAAGGCATTATTACACTATTTTCATGTTTTATAATTTTTATTAATAGTTATTCCTGAAGTACCTAAGAAGGATAATTTTAATATTTCATTTGAACATGGAGTTGTTAAAATAAAGTTCAACGATTATTTTCATTATAAAGATTGTGAAAAAGTATATAATGTTTTTATTCACAAGAATGGAGAACGAAATAATTCAGTAGTATATGATCGAATAACATGCAGAAATTATAAAGTCGGTCCTTATTATTTCGAACCAGGAACATACTTTATTATGATCCAGACCTGTCATACAAGTACAGGATGTTCTGCATTATTAAGAAGCAGAAATTATACTATAGGTTGTAATTCATATTTCTATAATTATACACTTCATGGTTAAAAAAATTTATTTAAAACAATAGTAATTAAAGTTTATTCCTTCAATTTTTCTTCTTAACTAATTTTTATTAGTAAAAAGGAAAGAACCAACACCATTATCCTACAAAGTATTACAAACCACGGAGAATTCATGCACAATTGAGTGGATGAAAAAAAGGAACATATCAGACATTGTAAGAAGAAAAATATTTCTCAATAATAATATAGTATTGTGGAATATAAATCTATTTTTCCTTTGCGACAATTTAATGTACAACAAATGATTATGTTTTTTAACTAGCATTCCGAAACTATTCGGTTTTCTAAGAACTCTCTCAGGGATGGATATGAAATTAATTTCATTATCATTGGTACTGACATTCAACCTCTTAATATTCATACTGCCAAGGATGCGTGCATCGGTCATCATCTAATAGGTGTGAATATAAACATATTTTCTTAGAATTCGTATAATATTTATTCTTACAGCTTTATTATTTTCAAACACCAATTCTTGTTTGATTGTATCTCAATCTATGTGAACAAAATTTTTTAGTCATACCTGCTAAACCAAAAGAAAGTGATTTCGATATAACGTTACACAGAGTGGATCCTTTATTGCTAAAGCCACAAAATATAGCCACTATAAAGTTGCACAATAGTACTAATAATAATTGTGAATTGTGGTATACAATTCAAATGTGCATCTCATCAGGTACTTGTTTTGATAAGAAAATTCTTAAATGCAATAAGGATTTAAACATTGCACACATATTCAAACCTGAAATTTACTACTTCATAATTGCTGCTTGCAATAAAATTGGATGTTCTCAACCAAGAAATACTAAATTATATGTAGACTACAATCCATCTGGTAAGATTTTAAATTTCATTTACTATTTTTTCAATAAAAATAATTATTATTTGGAATGTTTAATTTTTAGAATAGAAGAGAGAAAAATTATCCCTATTATATTAACAGTATGCATTTATATATAATTGCAGATAAACTTTGTGGACCAGAAGGTCCGATTCAAATTTTGAATGTTACGAACACTTCATGTACAATCGAATGGGAGTTACCTAAAAACAGTTTTAGTTGTCAAATATACGATAATGTAAATACGAGTACATCCCATTTTGAAATGTATTATATACATACTTATATCAAAGGTGAATCATCATTTGAGGCGTTTACAAAATACAAGTGTGATTTATTTTGTCATAAACCATCTTATACTATAAATAGACTCCGTCCTGGAAGTAATTATAATATTGAACTTGGTATACTTATAAATAACGATAAATCTACAAAAAGCATTTCGACGGAATGCCACACATTGTTTTCCTAAGATATTTTATATATCTGGATTTTCTATTCGAATTCAGATTTTTTTGTATCTAATGACATGTTTCTCGTGTTTTTAATTCTGTTTCTTTTTAAATTTTATTATTTGAAAAATAAACTTATAAGATACTATGTAAGCAACAGCTCTTTAAAATGTAGAATAATCAAATAAATAAAATTTAGTATTGAATAAATAAGATATTTATATCACATTCTAATTATTCATAGTGTTTATTCATGTCAACAAAATTTGATATTGACGCCGGTTTTACTCAGTAACCTTTAGTTCAAAAAATGTAATTACTTGTTAGTTATATTACTAAATTTAGTTATGTTATAACAACGGGTTTAATATAACACTGAAAACTATGATTGAAGTAAACTTATCAATCTGACAACATTGCCTATTAATAAATAAGAATATTTTCAGTCTACTATTAGACATGTAGAGAAATATTCATGAGTTAATGAAAATAATAAAAGACAAAATTATAGATGATACAAACAATGTCTGAAATAGTTTTCAATTGTTTGTTAGCAAACAAAATATGTCAATTATTAATGAGCTTAAAATCAGTATATATACATATATACAATCAAAATTGTATCCCGTGTGTGTTTTAAGTAAGTTTAAATATTTTTCTTTGAATACAATATTTTTTACTAAATTTAATTATACTTATAAAAATATTTTTAATTTTGTATACATACAAGTTTTTTAACAAAAACTCAAAACTTTTTTATATTCTGAATTATCGATGAAAAAATTGCGTTACATAAAATTTAATATTCATTTTGACATTGTTGATAAAGAGAAGAAAAGAAAAAAATTCTTGATAAAAAAAAATTCTTCACAAAGTTTAAAAATTATGAATTTTATGATTTTATAATAAGTTAAATAAGTTTAAAAATTATTTTAAACAAAAATTATTATTTGGATTTAAAAAGTTAATTTGTTAAAAGTATTAAAAATTTTCTTCAAATTTTATTTAACTTTTAAAAAAATTTTAAAACAGTAAAATTTAATAGAAATATTTATCATCAAACAGAAAATGATAAACTTAAAAAAAAGAAACAGGTGTACGTTTTTTATAACATTTTGTAACAGTATAAAATTTAATTTTCATTTCTGTCTATATAAAGCTATTTGAAACTTAAGGAAATAACTACACATTTCCGTTACAAAATTCTTTTTTCTTCTCCTAAAAGAAGTTTTTTCTCATTTCAAAAATGCGATCCTTCATTTTCGTTTTCTTCAAATTTTATTCGGTATTCCAAAGTGTCTGTGCTGGTGGGACAATAACCAAAAAACTTGAAAGTGGTAAGTAAAACCAAATTCTAAAAAATGTATTAATTATCTAATGAGAATAATCACAATTTTTATCAATTAATGCTTGGTTGCGTTAATTAATAAAAACTTCAACACCATGATAAGGTGTTTCAACTATTCATAAACATAAAATTCCAATCTTTAGACACTTCTCCTATATTGGTAGGAGATATTGACGTCTATGACGTTGAACAATCAACTGTCCGCCTAGTAATTCCTGTAAACAAAAAAGATTACGTGCAAACTAATTATTTAGTTCTGTTTGACAATATCAATACAAGGGAGATTAAAGATATCAAAGATGTAACTTACATGACAGTTTTCGATTCTTTAGTCATGTTTATTTCTAGTCTCTCTTCAAGTACAACGTATCAATTTTGTGTTGTTGATAAAAGTAGAGATATTTTTTTCAAAAGCCCAAATGTAACTACAAAAAAAGCTTTACGTATGTATATTTTTTATAATTTAAATACCATCTTCAATATTACAAAATACAATACAAAATTTAATACATTTTACAATATTTTAAGGTGCAGTGACTTTTGGTAAGCTAAGTATTACACTTTTAAATGTTACAAATACAACCTGTACTTTTCAATGGAAAAAACCAGCGAATAATTATGGTAATGTGCATTACTATATTTGCGTTATGGACAAAAAAGATGGACAAGTTACAACATATTCTAAAAATTCAAATTTTTCTGATGTATCTTTCATGATTGATAAACTTCATCCTGGAAAAATGTACATATTCTCTGTTTGGATAAATGATTCAAGTTCTTTAGAGTCTGAAGAAATAGAATGCGAAACTTTGTCCTCAATGAGTATGTGAATTCTTATCATAAAAAATCATTTTTTTATCTCACTTTTCAATTACATAACACTTAAATTGAATGTTTAGTTACAGAAAAACCTGCTATTGCTGATATAAATTTATTTAATATTTCATTTGATTACGGAATGGGAAAAATCGCGTTGAATGATGATTTCCATTTCGAAAACTGTGCCGTAAAGTACTATGTCTATATTTTCAAAAAAGAAAAACACTATCCTTTAATTGTTATGGATAAAATAACATGCTGGAAATACGTATCAGGTCCTTTTTATTTCGAAGTGGGAACTTATAATGTCATTATTAAGGCTTGTAATAAAATTGGCTGTTCTCGGGAAGTAAGCAGCAAAGATTATAAAATTACAGTTAAGAGTAAAGAACCTGAACCTTTATCGTATAAAGTGTTAGAAACCACAGACTTTTCGTGCAGAATCCAGTGGGTAAAGCAACAACCGAATATTTCCATCATTGTAAGAAATTATTCTTGTATTTTAAACAGACAATAATAATAACATAGTTTACTATGTTATATACATTTAAACCAAGAATAAATAATTTCATTTTTTTCAGCGTGAAGAAACTATTGAGATTATAACTGATTTTGCCTTTAATCATTATAAAATTAATTTTATTGTCATTGGTTCCGATGATAATGTTCTGAACATTCATACCGCCAAAGATGCATGTGTCGCTCAACACTTAAAAAGTATGCATTCTTTCTTAAATTTATGTGCTTCTTATTTGACTCTATTGTTTAGTTTTATTATTAGTCAAATAATTAAAATTTGTGTAAATTATTCTATAGTCATACCGGCTGTACCAAAAAAAGATGAATTTGATATATCAATCGTTGATAATGTGGCCACCATCAAGTTACACAATAGTAGATACAATTACTGTGAGAGATGGTATAAAATAAGTTTAGGCTCATGTAAATTGTCATTGTACACATACACACCACCAGTTTATCTGTATTGTACAGATGAATCTGTAAAAATTGAAAAGTTGAATACTTTCTTTAGATTTAAATTTCAGTTTGTAGCATGTAATAAAAATGGATGTTCTTCAGCAGGGACAAGTGAATGTTCCACAACCTACAAATTATCAGGTACACAGCAGTAAAAATGCTTGTAGACTATTTATCTGGATGCAGTTAGGCTTAATTTCATGATTGAATAATTCAAGCTAAATATTTTTACCTACAGACAAAGTATTTGGGCCAGATGGAAATCTTGAGATATTAAGTTCCACTGATACAACATGCAAGATTCAGTGGACTAAACCAAAAAACAGTTCTGGAAATGTAGATTATTATATTAAGTATTATATCGACGGTAATTCCTCTTCTGAAGTTTTCGAAAACTTCACAGCATCAAGATCTAAACCATTTATAGAGATTCAAAATCTTCAACCAGGCATTAAATACAATATTAAAGTGGGTGCTATTGAGGACCAGAAAATGTCTAAAAAAACAGTCGATACAATATGCGACACTCAACATACAAAAGGTTTGTAAAATTTTTATAGCTATTTTAATAAATTAAGAGAAAAGTAGAGTAGATATATGAATTTAATTTGTTGTAAAATGTGTTTCAATTATAGACAGGGATGGCAGATTAGAGGAAGCGGCTAAAATTTCTAAAATTGAAGATTCCAGGATCGAACTTACGATTCCTTTTAATAATAATACGTACTTGCAACCTGATATTTCAGTTTTAGTAAAAGAGAAAAATTCTTCGACATTCATACCAACAGATGATTTTTCTTATAAAATATCAGAATTCTTAGTTGTGAACGTTTCAGAACTTAAAGCAAGAACTTTATATAGATTTCGAGTTGTTGATAAAAGAAATAGAATATATTTTGAGAGCAACGATGTTAAAACGATTGGTATGGATTAATTAATATTATCTCCTCTCGACCATCTTATGGATTTCCTTGCTGAGGGATGAAAAATTGTAGAAAACATTCGTAATCGTAAATTTTTTAATTACAGACAAAATTTTTGAAAGGGCAGGAAATATTAAAATTTATAAGATCGAACATTCTATAGTCTGGTTAATGATTCCTATAATAAGTAATGAATACCTCGAAACGGATTTCTTGGTTTTTAAAAAAGAGGATAATATTTCAAAATTTAAGAAGACGGATAATGTTATTTACATGCAAGCTGCATATACTTTAGTTATATTTGTTTCTAAACTTTCTTCAAATACGAAATATCAGTTCAGGGTTGAGCATAAAAGCAAATATGCTTTTTACCAAAGCACAGAAGTTACAACAATGAAAAAAGCTTCAGGTACTCATGTAATTTAAAAATCTCAAACACTTTCTAATATTGCATTATTATTATTATTATTATTATTATTATTATTATTATTATTATTATTATTGTCAAGAGTAATTAATTTTTTTCATGAAGAATTTTGAAGCATTATTTCCAATTACTTTAAATTAGTATTTTAACAAATAATTAGGTTTTAATTTTTTAGGCGTGCCTGACAAACCAAATGAAAAAATGTTTTATATTTCATTTGAGAAGAACGAAGCGATTTTAACGAGGAAAGAGCATTATCATTGGCAAGAATATTGGATATCATACCATATTCGTATTTACGATATCAAGGGAGACTATGAATTTCTTATTAAAACAGCTGACTTAGATAGAAATACAAGTTCTATTCATTTCACGAATCTCACACAAGGACATAAATATAAATTTAGAATTGAGGCTTATAATAGTACCGGAACTTCTGCATATATGGTTACTAAAGAATACATAGCTGGCAACTATGAAAGACCAATTGAGGTTTTAAATTTTACGGACACAACATGCACAATTTTATGGAAGAAACCAGAAAATGCGACCAAAGATATGATTAACTATATACATGTTACCGATAAGGGCGACAGAAATATTAAAATACGATATATTTTTGCTTCTTCTGGAATACCTCTTACTATTTATAACCTTTATCCTGGAAACGAATATGCCTTTGCCGTTTCTACAATAGAGGCAATGCGTTCACCGTTCGTTGAAACAGATTGTAGAACTACGCCCGTAAATGGTAATTATTAATCCTATTAGAAAATGCATTATTACACTTTTTCATGTTTTATAATTTTTATTTGCAGTTAACCCCAGCAAACCCGAAGCGAATTCTTTTAATATATCATTCGAGTATGGAGCTGTTCAAATACAGTTCATCAATTACTTAATTTATGAAGATTGTGAAAAAGTATACAATGTTTTTATTCACAACAAAGAAGAACGAAATACTTCAGTAGTATATGAACAAATAACATGCAGAAATTATAAAGTCGGTCCTTATTATTTCGAACCAGGAAAATACTTTATTATGATCCAGGCCTGTCATACAGATTCCAGATGTTCTGAATTTTTAAGAAGCAGAGAATATACTATAGGTTGTAACTGATATTTCTATAATTATACACTTCATAGTTGAAAAAATTTATTTGAAACAATAGTAATTAAAGTTTATTCATTAAATTTTTTTCTTTAATAATTCTGATAAATTTTAGTAAAAATGAAAGAACCAAGACCATTATCCTACAAAGTATTACAAACCACGGAGTCTTCATGTACAATCCAGTGGATAAAGAAGAAGAATATGTCAGATATTGTAAGCAAAATCAAATTTGTCAATAGTAATATAATATTACAGAACAACACTTGACACTTTGGCAATACTTAATAATATACAATGTTTCATTTTTTTAACTAGTATTCCGAAACTATTCGGTTTTCTAAGAACTCTCTCAGGGATGGATATGAAATTAATTTCATTATCATTGGTACTGACAATCAACCTCTTAATATACATACTGCCAAGGATGCATGCATCGGTCATCATCTAATAGGTGTGGATATAAAAATATTTTCTTAGAATTCGTATAATATTTATTCTTACAGCTTTATTATTTTCCAACACCAATTCTTGTTTGATTTTATCTCAATCTATATGAACAAAATATTTTAGTCGTACCTTCTAAACCAAAAGAAAGTGATTTCGATGTAACGTTGCACAAAGTGGATCCGTTATTGCAAAAGCAACAAAATATAGCCACTATAAAGTTGCACAATAGTACTAATAATAATTGTGAATTACGGTATACAATTCAATTGTGCATCTCATCAGGTACTTGTTTCGATAAGAAAATTCTAAGATGCAATAAACATTTAAACATCGCTCACACATCAAAACATGTAATTTACTATTTCATAATTGCTGCTTGTAATAAAATTGGATGTTCTCAACCAATAAATACCAAACTGCATATTAATTACAATCCATCTGGTAAGAATATATATTGTAGTTACTATTTTTCTAATAAAAAATAACAATTTGGTCATATACTTACTTTGGTTGAATAGAAGAAAATTTCTTCTAATAGTATTATCTTTATTGACAGTAATCATTTTTATCTACAGATGAACTTCATGGACCAGAAGGTCCGATTCAAATTTTGAATTATACGAATACTTCATGTACAATCGAATGGGAATTACCTAAATACAATTCTAGCTATCAAAAATACGATAATAAAGAAACGAGTACATCCCACTTTGTAATGTACTATTTACATTTTTATATCGAGCATGTATCATCTTTTGAAGGTTTCAAAATGTATCAGTATAATGTGTCCTCTAATAAACCATCCTATACTCTTAAGGAACTCAGTCCTGGAAGTAATTATAATATTATTGTTGGTGTTCTTAAAGATTATAATAAATCTACAAAAAGTATTTCGACGGAATGCCACACATTGTTTTCCTAAGATATTTTGTCTCTCTGGAGCACCTATTCGAATTAAGATTAAGACACATGTTCGTTGTGTTTCTATATTTTGTTTATTTTTCATTCATAAAATGAATATTATAAGTTATGAATAATAATTTACTTATTTTATAGCATTTATATGATATTACATGTTTAATCATGGTGAAATTAATTATCAATAACACATCTAACTAATCATTCTTTTTGAAAAAAGCGAAGAGCGATTTTACGCCGATCAGTCTAGTTAGATTTATATTAATTATAAAATAATAAATTTATTATTGGCGTATCAGGAAATTAAGTTATCCCTAAGATGTTTGGAAGATTAAAATTGTACAACAATTCAAAGACTCCATATTTTAGTATACATGCAATTATATCATAATATCTTATCTGTAAAAAAACAATGGTTTTAATAATTGTTTATAATTATAATAAATAAATATTATAATAATAATGCAGTAATTTCAAGGTCATCGATAACAATGTCAGAAAATAATCCGGAAATGGATGAACCCATTGGGGTACCATATAGTCTAAGAAATCTAAGATTTTATAGGCCTCTTTAATAATTAATAAATAACATAATTATTTAAGGAATTATTTTTAAAAAATATTTCTGAACTATTATTTAAATATTCAACAAAATTTTAAAGCAGTAAAATGTAATGCAAATATTTATCATCAAACATAAAATGCAACAATTTTAAAAATGCAGAACAGGTGTACATTTCTTTAACATTATGTAAGAGAATAAAATTTAATCTTCGCTTTTGTTTATCTACAGTTATTTAAAACTTAAAGAAAGAACCACGTAGTTTACTTACAAACTTTTTGCTTTTGGCAAAGGAAATTATATTCTCGTTTAAAAATGCATTCATTATTTATTATTTCTATTTGCGTTAATTGTTATTTAGTGTCTTTAAGTGAGTATGCTGATGCAATTAGAAATGAAGAATTTAATGGTGGTAAGCAAATGAAATTTATAAGATGTATATTAATAAATTGCAGCATATTTCTCAAGTTAATTATAGTTTGCGGTTGTTGTAATTAATTCCCTCTTTATCAAACTCTAACAGAATCGAACAAATTAAAAATGCTGTGTTAGAAATTTCTGTAATTTTACAGAAACTTTTCAGTACAAACGTACTGTGAATCTACAGTTTTTGCTGTAATTACACATAAATGTAGTAAATTTACTAAAAATATTTTCTTGCTTTGTAAGGGGTCATTGAAGTACTACGTAAGCATATTTTTAAGGGTTTTTGATCTCCTCTCTCTTGTAAGATTTTTTACATACATTAGCGCCATTTTTTCTAATAAATATGTAACGCTTGATGGGGGAGGGGAGTTCAAGCCATTTATTACGATAAGAAAAAAATGTCGACAAGGTATGTATAACATTGCGTCACGTTTGGAGAGGGGGAGGATCAACATTTTCGAAAATCAGCGGTACGCAATATATGGACGGCCCCTAAAGTTTGCAAAATTTTGAAAAATAAACTTTAAGATTTTCATTTTAAGATTGAAATTTAGCGAATACATCGTTTAAATTACATAAAAGTAATCTTTTCTGAACAACAACTTTTTTTGTTATTCATTCGAATATTTAATTATTATTTATGAATATAAAATTATTTTTTTTAGACACCAATCCTATATTTGTAGGAAATATTGATGTCTATGACGTTGAACAATCAACAGTCCGTCTAGTGATTCCTATAAACAAGAAAGAATACGTGAAAACTAATTATTTAGTTTCATTTGATAATAAAAGTACGCATGTGATTCAAGATATCAAAGACATAATTTACCTACAAGTTTTCGATTCTTTAGTTATGTTTATTTCTGGTCTTTCTCCAAGTACAACATTTCAATTTTGCGTTGTTGATAAAAGTAGAGGTATTTTTTTCAAAAGCCAAAAAGTAACTACAAAAAAAGCTTCACGTATGTATATTATATATAATTTAAATAACATCTTCAGTATTCTAAAATACAATATAAAATTTAATATATACCAATCATTCTTTGCTATTGTCAGCAAATATGTTCACAGCATATATTTTTTTACCACTTACGATAATCTTAATTTACTATTGTATTTTATATTCTACTATTAATTTTTCAATTTACAGAAAAACCAGAAATACCAGATGAAAGTATGTTTTATGTTACATTTGTAGAGAATGAATTTATTTTTACAACGAAATATCATTTACACTGGCAAAACACAGAAGTATGGTATAGAGTCGTTTTAGTTGAAGTTAATAAAAAGAATGAGATTAATATTGGAAAAACGGATTTAGATGAAACAATTAATTCTATTCATTTTCGTAAAATTCTTAGTGGGCATAGTTATAAATTTAAAGTTAGAGCTTGCAATGAATATGGATGTTCAAATCAAATGGTGTCAAAAAATTACGTTGCAGGTAACGATCATTATTATCGCAATCATAAGGAAACAATTTTTGAATATTATTTCAAAATACTTTAATTTATAGGCAGTTTTACGCAGGGGATTAAAGTTTTATCTGTTACGAAAACAACATGTACTATTTCATGGAAAAGCAAATGGCCGAATAATTATAATTATTTCATTCAAATTATTGACAAAGGGGACCGAAATATTAAAAAACCTCGAATAAATAAGTTGTATTTTGTAGATTCAATTATAATTGATAGACTTCATCCTGGAAATATTTATTCAATTTCTGTTTCTAAGGAAAATTTACAGGAATCGCCGTACGAAGAAATAGAATGCTTAACACCGCCTGTGGAAAGTATAGAAATTTATTGTCATATTAAATAATTTATTCCTGCATAAATTTTATTTTACTATAGTCTCATATAAAATTTTTATTTATAGGAAAACCTGATAATGCAAATATAACTTCATTTACTATTTCATTTGATTATGGAATTGCAAAAATAGAGTTAAATGATAATTCTATTTTCGAAAACTGTGCACAATATTACAGAGTCTGTATTTCCAAAAATGAAATTTATGACTCTGGGATTGAATGTGATGTAATAACATGCAAGAAGCACGAAATCGGACCTTACTATTTTGATGTGGGAAGTTATTATGTCACAATTAAGGCTTGTAATGCAATTGGATGCTCTAAAGAAGTTAGGAGCAGGGATCACGAAATAGGTGCGAATATTTGTATCTGGATTAGGTTGTTATAATATTGAAAATATTTTACTACTTATTCAAATATTTTTCAGTTAAGCGAAAAGAACCTGAACCTCTATCTTATAAAGTATTAGACACCAAGGAAAAATCGTGCACAATTCAGTGGATAAAGCAACAACCGAATATTTCCATCATTGTAAGAAATTATTCTTGTCGTACAATTATAAACAACGAAAAGTATCTGTTATCGTCATTGGAGCGAATAATAAATATTTTACATTTTTTGCAGCGCGAAGAAACTATTTTAATTTCAGATAGTTTTCCTTATGGAGATTATAAAATTTATTTTATCGTTATTGGTTTTGATGATAATGTTCTGAACATTCATACAGCTAAAGATGCATGCATCGCTCAACATTCCAAATGTATGTAATTATGTTCAGCTTTAAATTGTTGCTTTTTATTTAACTAAGTTAACTTGTTCATTTTATTATAATATTAATGTTAATTAAAATTTTTGTTATTAATTTTTAGTCCTACCGGCTGTACCAAAAGAAAATGAATTTGACATTTTATTAGCTAAAGATGTAGCTACTGTCAAAATGCACAATGATACTAATATAAACTGTGAGATAGAGTATAAAATTAGATTATGGTTAGCAATACCTCCGTACAGAGAAAGACAACAAGTTTCTTTGCTCTGTTATGATGAGCACGTAAATATAAAATTATTTTTCATCTCTGATTTCAATTTCAAAATTAGGGCTTGTAATGATAAAGGATGTTCTTCAGCTATGACTAGTAGTCTATACACAACTTACAAACAGACAAGTAAGCATCAGTGAAGATGCTATTATAAGAAAACCTCTAACCTTTATTTATGCTAAATTATTAAATAGCATATTAAATTTATGCTTATGTATTAAATTTTTTAATTTATAGGCGAACTTATTGGACCAAAAGGTCCACTCCAAGTATTACACGTTACTGACAAAACATGCAAAATTCAATGGACCAAACCTACAAATAATACCGAAAATGTACAATATCACATTAAATACTATATAGAAGGTAATTCACTTCCTGAAACTGTCAAAAATTTTGTTACATCATCATCTGAACCATCTACAATGATGGATGAACTTGAACCTAGAAGTAAATACAATGTTATAGTTGGTATTGTTAAGAATGAGAAAATGTCTTTTGAAGTAGTCCACGGAAAATGCTACACTCAAAATTTGAGGGGTATAAACGACATTCTGATAATTTCTACATAAAACTTAAAATTGTTAATTTAAATCCTAGTTTAAAAAATAAATTCTAATTACAGACTGGAATGATGCACAGAAAAGAAATATTAGTGTTTATGCTATTAAAAAATCTAGAGTCCAATTTATGATACCTTTGAATAGGAATGAATACAAACAAAGTGAAATAATAGTTTATGTTAAAGAAGGAAACAAAACTTTCACATCTACTGCTACCAATGATTTTAATTTTAATGAATTAGCAAAATATGTATTTCTAGATGTACATCGTCTTCAACCAGGTACTACCTACAGATTCCGAATTGTTGAGAAAAGTAGAGGTCTTTATTTTGAGAGCAAACATGTCAGAACGTTAGGTATCTATTACGATGTTTCTTAAACTGATAGTTTTTCACATCAATAAGTATTTATAGTTCATATTAATAAGGAATTAGTGTTTAAAAACATAAATTTATAATTCACAGACAAAACTTTGGAACTTTCGGAAAGTATTAAAATTTATAAAGTCGAACTATATTCAATCTGGTTAACGATTCCAGTAAAAAATAATGAATACGTAGAAACAAATTTTGGAGTTAATATAAAAAAAGAGGATAATTCTAAAATTATGCGCGCACATAGAGTTGTTTACGTGCAAGCTGAAAATACTTTAGTTATGATTGTTTTTGAACTTTCTCCAAATACAACATATGAATTCGAAGTTGTTCAAAATAATAAAAACGTTGTTTACAAGAGCACAAAAGTTACAACATTTTCAGGTACGTATATACTAAAAAATCTTAAGCACCATACAACAGTGCATAAGAATGATTGTCAAGTGGAAAATTTTTATCGATATAACAGTGTAGAGAGACCAGACTGTAACTGTAAATTAAAATTTTCATAAGTAATTACATTTTATTTTTCAGGCGTGCCTGACAAACCAAAAGAAAATAGGTTTTATATTTCATTTGAGAAGAATGAAGCAATTTTAACGAGGAAAGAGCATTATCATTGGCAAGACACGAGGATATGGTACCGTATCCAGCTTCTTGAAGTAGATGGAAATACTGAAAATCTTATTGAAGCAACAGTCTTAGATGCAAATGCTAATTCTAATCATTTCACTAATCTCACACAAGGACATAAATATAAATTTAGAATTGAGGCTTGTAATAGAACAGGCATTTCTGAATCTATAGTTACTAGAGAATATACAGCAGGCAACTATGAAAGACCAATTGAGGTTTTAAATTTTACTGACACAACATGCACAATCCTGTGGAAGAAACCAGAAAATGCGGCCAAAGATATGATTAACTTTATACATGTTACCGATAAGGGCGGCAGAGATATTATAATAAATTATCCGTTCGCTTCTCCTGGAATACCTTTTAAAATTTATAACCTTTATCCTGGAAACGAATATGCCTTTGCCGTTTCTACAATAGAGGCAATGCGTTCACCGTTCGTTGAAACAGATTGTAGAACTACGCCCGTAAAGGGTAATTATTAATCTTATTAGAAAATGCATTATTACACTTTTTCATGTTTTATAATTTTTATTTGCAGTTAACCCCAGAAAACCTGAAGCGAATTCTTTTAATATATCATTTTACTATGGAGTTGTTCAAATACAGTTCATTAACTACTCAATATACCAAGATTGTGAAAAAGTATACAATGTTTTTATTCACAAGAAAGAAGGAGATATTTCAGTAGTATATGATCGAATAACATGCAGAAATTATAAAGTTGGTCCTTATTATTTCGAACCAGGAACATATTTCATTATGATCCAGTCCTGCCATACAAGTTCAGAATGTTCTGAATTCATAAGAAGCAGAGAATATACTATAGGTAGTAACTCATATTTCTATAATTATACTCTTGATAGTTGGAAAAATTTATTTGAAACAATAGTAAATTAAGTTTTTTCTTAACTAATTTTTATGAATTTTAGTAAAAATGAAAGAGCCAACACCATTATTCTACAGAGTATTAGAAACCACGGAGGATTCATGCACAATCCAGTGGATGAAAACAAGGAATATGTCAGACATTGTAAGAATTAAAATATTTCTCAATAATAATCTAATATTGTGGAATATAATTTTATTTTTTCTTTGCGACAATTTGATGTACAACAAATGATCATGTTTTTCACGCAGCACTACGAAACTATTTGGTTTTCTAAGAACTCTATCAATGATGGATATAAAATTAATTTCATTGTCATTGGTACTGACAATCAACCTTTTAATATCCATACTGCTAAGGATGCATGCATCGCTCATCATCTAATAGGTAAGAATACAAACATTTTCTTAGAATTTGTATAATATTTATTTTTCCAGCTTTATTATTTTCTAACATAATTCTAGTTTAATTGTATCTCAAACTATATGAACAAAATTTTTTAGTCATACCTGGTAAACCAAAAGAAAGTGATTTCGATATAATGTTGCACAGTGTGGATACTTCATTTCTAAAGCGACAAAATATTGCCACTATCAAGTTGCACAATAATACTGATAATAATTGTGAATTATGGTACACAATTAAAATGTGTATTTTTTCAAGTACTTGTTTCGATGAGAAAATTCTGAGTTGTAATAAACATTTAGACATCGCAGATATTTCTAAACCTGAATTTTTCCACTTCATAATTGCTGCTTGTAATGAAATTGGATGTTCTCAACCAATGAATACTAAACTGTATATAGGTTACAATCCCTCAGGTAAAAATCTATATTGTAGTTACAATTTTTAATAAAAAATAACCATTTGTTGATATACTTAGTTTGTAGAATAGAAGGGAATTTTAACAGTAATCATTTTTATTTACAGATGAACTTCATGGACCAGAAGGGCCGATTCAAATTTTGAATTATACAAATACTTCATGTACAATCGAATGGGAATTACCTAAATACAGTACTAGCTATCAGAAATACGATAATGTAAATAGGGGTACATCCCACTTTGTAATGTACTATATACATTTTTATATCGAACATGCATCATCTTCTGAACATTTCAAAATATATCAGTTTCCTGTGTCCACTAATAAACCATCCTATACTCTTAAGGAACTCAGTCCTGGAAGTAATTATAATATTATTGTTGGTGTTCTTAAAGATTATAACAAATCTACAAAAAGTATTTTGACGGAATGCCACACATTGTTTTCTTAAGATATTTTATCTCTCTGGATTTCCTATTCGAATTCAGATTTTTGTGTTTAAGGACATGTTTGTTTAATGACATTGACATGTTCCTCGTGTTTTTAATTCTGTTTCTTTTAAAATTTTACTATTAGCAAAATAAGCCTATAAGATACTGTAAGCAACAGCTCTTTAAAACGTATAATAATCAAATAAATAAAATTTAATATTGAATAATAACGTTATATTTATTTCATATTCAAATTACTTATATTGTTTATTCATGTCAACATTATTTTGATATTGACGCCGGTTTTACTCATTAACCTTAAATTTTTAAAAATGTAATTACTTGTTAGTTCTACTACTAAAACGTGTTTAATATAACACTGAAAACTATAATTGAAGTAAACTTAACAATCTGACACCATAGCCTATTAAAAAATAAGAATATTTTCAGTTTAATATTAGAAATGTAGAGTAATATTCATGAGTTAACGAAAATAATAAAAGACAAAATTATAGATGATGAAATACAAACGAAAAATGTCTGAAATAGTTTTCAAATGTTTATTAGCAAACAAAATATGTCAATTATTAATAAACTTGATAACAGTATATATACATATGAAATCGAAATTGTATCCCGTGTGTGTTACTAAATTTCAAATCACCTGGAGTTATGACTTACTGAGTGTATTAAAATGAATTCTATATTTATTTTTGCTTTATGTACAACATTTATATGTGAATCTATTAGTTACTGTGGTAAGAATAAAAAAATTATTTTGCTATTAACTAATGTAGAATTTACATTTTTTAAAAGTTTTGAAACAGTAAAATACAAAATAAATATTTATCATTAAAGATAAATGAAAAATTTTTTTCTCGAAAATATGGAACACGTGCATTTTGTCTATTATCAATTCGTGGAAGAATAACATTTAATATTTATTTTTACCCTATATAAAGAAGAGTATAACTTGAAAAACGGAACATTTCTTTTAAATAATTTTTACATTTGCTAAAGAAAAATTGTGTTTGTTTAAAAAATGCGATCATTAATTTTCTTTTTGGTCTGTATTAATTTTTATTTGTTTAAAACTGTGGTTGCTAAAAAAATTTCAGCTGGAAAAATTGAAGGCAGTAAGTAAAGAAATTTATAAAAACTACATTGTTAACTAGCAGTGTTATATTTACTGACATTGATCAATTTTCATTATTTGTTTGTTGTATTATTTAAAAAATAATTTTTCCATAACAAAATATTATGTTTTTAAGTTCCCTGGGGTCATAAAAAGTCTGTTTTTCATGTGGATGTTGACAAAAATTATTTATAGAATATTACGAAAAGTATGGAATTTTAAGTTCGAGGAAAAATCTCCATGCATGTTCATTTATTAATAAACATAAAATTCTGATTTACAGACAATGCTACATTCGGAGGGCATATTAATGTGTACGATGTTGAAGATTTAAAAGCCCGTTTAGTGATTCCTGTAAATAAAAATGAATACATAAAAACTAATTATTTAGTTTCATTTGAAAATAAAAGTACATCTGAAATTAAAAATATTGATGATGTATTTTACATGCAAGCTTTAGATTCATTAGTTATGTTTGTTTCCAATCTTTTTCCAAACACTACATATCGATTTCGAGTTGATGATAAAAGTAAAGGGATTTTTTTCACGAGTCCAGAAGTAACTACAAAGAAAGCTTTAGGTACGTTTTACTTTTTATAATATCCCATTTTTGAAGAATTATTAAAATATTCAAGCTGTATTACATTTTTTATTTAATTACTTCTTTGTTAAATTAACTTTTAATATAAGCTTTAATTTACAGGGAAACCTGAAAAACCGGATGAAAGTATGTTTTATGTTACGTATGTTGGGGATGAATTTATTTTTACAATGAAAGATCATTTACACTGGCAAATATCAACACCAGTGTATCACGTCCGGATGTATAAAGTTGATGGAAATAATGAGCGTTATTTTAATAGAGGAAACCTTAATGGAATAGTTAATTCCATTCATTTTGATTATATCCACAAGAATTTTACATATAGATTTAAAGTCGAGACTTGCAATAGATATGGATGTTCTGATGAAATGGTCACAAAAGATTACATTGCAGGTAACGATCATAATTACTTTTTGATCAGAAGAATACACTTTTAGAATTAAATTTAATAATATTTTCATTTACAGGCAGTTTTGAGCAGAGAATTAAAGTTTTAAATGTTTCGAATACAACGTGTACTATTCAGTGGGAAAATCTTGATAAGAATTCTAATAATAGGGATTATGTAATTCATGTTATCGACAAAGGGGACCGAAATATTAAACAACGTTTTTTAAATGCGTCCAATTTTGGAATACCTTTTACGATTGATGGTCTTCATCCTGGAAATATATATGCATTTTCGGTTTCGCTGGGAAATTCCAAAGATTCGCCTTACGAAGAAATCGAATGCCACACTTCGTACTTCAGAAGTATTGAATTTTTCTATAATATAAAATATATTTTACTTACAGACTTATATATTAAATTTCTATTTACAGAAGAACCGGATAATGCTAATATTACTTCATTTAATATTTCATTTGATTATGGAATTGCAAAAGTAGAGTTAAATGATAATTCTCTTTTTGAAAACTGTGCCCAATATTACAGTGTTTCTATTTATAAGAAAGAAAGGTATTCCTGGTTAAATCAAGTCGATAGAATAACGTGCGAGCATTACGCAATCGGACCTTACTATTTTGATCCGGGGAATTATTATGTCTCAATTCGGAGTTGTAATGAAATAGGTTGTTCTGGCGAAGTGTGGAGCACAGTTTACGAAATAGGTATGTATAAATTAATTTACAACATTTAGGCTAAGTTGCTAGAAATTTTTAGTGTTTTCTACTTTTTAATAAATACTTTACAGTTAAATGTAAGGAACCTGAACCTTTATCTTATGAAGTATTATACTCCACGGACAAGTCGTGCATAATTCAGTGGATAAAGCAACATCCGAATATTTCCAACATTGTAAGAAACTATGCTTTTTTGTAAGCAATGAAAACTAAATTATCAGTTACTGTAGCATTTAATTTTTTTGTAGCGTAACGAAACTATTACGCTTTCAAGCGATTTTCCATATGATGACTACAAAATTAATTTTATTATCATTGGATCCGATGATCATGTTCTGAATTTCCATACTGCTAAAGATGCATGCATCACTCATCATTCCAAAAGTATGAAATTATCTTTATTCTTTTCTTTTAATTTGACTTAATCTTATTTGTTTTATTAATTAATATTAATAATTATCTAAACTATCATTTTTTGGATTTAATTCTAGTCGTACCGGCTGCACCGAAAGAAGATGACTTTGACATTACTATAAATGGCAGGATAGCCACTATCAAGCTTCATAAGAGTGCTAATAAAAACTGTGACATATGGTACAAATTTCATTTATGGGTACCAGTAATTTTATTCAGATTAAGAGTTCCAGATTCTTTGATTTGTACGAAAGAATATGTAGATTATGAAAACTTGTTTATTCCCGGTAACTACAATTTTGAGATTGTGGCCTGTAATAAACAAGGTTGTTCTACAGCAATAAGAAGCAAACTGTACACAACATATAAACAATCAGGTATGCAGAATTAGATACAGAATTTAATCACTACTTTTTAAAATCCAAGCTAAATGTAATAAATTACAGACCAAATTATTGGACCAGAAGGTCCACTACAAGTACAAAACATCACTGATACAACATGCAGAATTCATTGGACAAAACCTAGAAGTAGTGCCGAATATAACAAATACTATATTAAATATCATATAGATGGTGATTTAAATTCAGAAATTTTTGACAGATTTGTTGTATCTAAAACATATATGACGATTGATAATCTGCAACCAAGCACTAAATACAACATTATACTTGGTGTTATGGACAACGATGAGTTATCCTCAAAAACAATTAATGCGGAATTCTACACTGAATATTCGAAAGGTATGGATGGCCCAATAAATGTTTATCAATCACAGAATTACCATATGTTAGAACTTTGATTGTGACAATTCTAATTTGAATGACTTAATATTTTACTGCAACTTAAAGTCAACAACCTGTTTTAGTTGATAAATATTTTAATTACAGAAAAAAATGCTACACAAAAAGGAAATATTAATGTGTACGATATTGGAGAATCAACAGTTCGCCTCGTAATTCCTTTAAAGAAGGATGAATACATACAAACTAATCTATTACTTTTAGTAAAAGAGAAAAACCTTTCTACATTCACTTCAACTGATGATGTTTATTATATTAATTTGTCAGACTCTTTAGTTGCATACGTTAGTGGTCTTAAACCAAGTACTACATATAGATTCCGAATTGTTGATAAAGTCATGGGTGTTTATTTCGAGAGCAATGATGTCAGAACATTTGGTATACATTAATTTGTATCTTATATAGCAAAATGTTACAAAAATATTTACTGTTTTTGTTGTCTATAACTTATTAATCTCCAAAGTTAAATTCAAGAGTTTATTCAAGAATTTGATACGGAGAGATTGTTAACTTCTTCCACCTTTAATATAATTACTACCGAATGATAAATTCCTTTCCTCTAATTTCTATAAACATTTTAGACAAACCTGCTTCACTTGCGGGCCAAATTATCGTTTATCAGGTCCAGAAGGAAAAGGTCTGGTTAATGGTACCTGCAAAAGATGATGAATATGTACAGACTAATTTTTTAGTTACTGTATTTGATACAAATCATTTTGTATTTATATACACTAATGATGTCATTTACATGCAAGCCGAAAATACTTTAGTTATGTTTGTTTCTGGACTTTCTCCAAATACTACATATATATTCCGAGTTACTGATAAAAGTAAAGGTGCTTTTTATCAGAGCAGAAAAGTTACTACCGAGAAAGCTTTCAGTACGTAAATCATCCTATTAATCTAAAACAACAAAATATTGCTTTACGATTGTTTTCCAGTTAGGATTTGCGATCAATAATGTAATAGAATTAGATAAGACGATAGAAATAGAAACTTTTCCTTAAATATTACATTTTTCAGTCATACCTGATCAGCCGAAGGAAAATTTGTTTTATATTTCATTTGAGAAGAATGAAGCAATTTTAACGATGAAAGAGCATTATCATTGGGAAGAGCTGCTGCCAGTGTACCTAACTCACATTTATACAGTGAATAAAGAAACCGAAGAACTTATAGAAACAGCAAATCTAGATAGTAGAATTAAATCGAATCATTTCACTAGGCTCAGGTCTGGGAGTAGATATAAATTTAAAATTGAGGCTTATGATGGATGGAGATATTCCGAACCTTTGGTAACTAGAGAATATGTTGCTGGTAACTTTGAACGTCCAATTAAGGTTTTAAATTCCACAAATACAACGTGCACAATCCAGTGGGAAAAGCTTACAAATACAACCAAAGATACTGATTACTTGATACATGTTATCGACAGGGGGAACCGATATATTAAAACACGTTTTATAAATGCTTCCTACTCGAGAGCACCTTTTACAATTGATGGTCTTCATCCTGGAAATCAATATGCTTTTTCCGTTTCTGCAGAAAATGTAAAAGGTTCACCTTATTTGGAAACAGAATGCGACACTTCACCTTTAACAGGTATTTATTTTATTAGGTAAATTATTAGTTATTTACTGTTATTAAATAAATTCTTATGTTTATTTATAGTTGGACCCCATAACGCTACCATCGATTCGTTTAATATTTCATTCGAGGATGGAGTTGCCCAAGTGGTATTAACTGACAATTCTGTTTTCGAAAATTGTGCACTAAGATATGATGTCTACATTAGCAAGAAAGCAAAAAAAGATATTAGAGTAGTAGCTGGTGAAATAACATGTAAAAATTATAAAGTCGGTCCTTATTATCTAGAACCAGGAACTTATTACGTTGTAATCCAGGCCTGTCATACACTTACAGGATGTTCCCAAGCTCTAGGGACCAAACATTACGAAATAGGTATTAAGTTAAATAGGTATTCCTTAGTATTTCACAACATTTTCATAGATAAAATCTCTTCTAAATTAATTGAAAAAAATATAATTTTCTAAATCTTTTATAATTTTCAGTTAAGCGTAAAGACCCAGAACCTTTATTTTACAAAGTATTAGATACTACAGACTTATCGTGCACAATCCAGTGGACCAAACAACAACCAAATATGTCCAATATTGTAAGAAATTTGCATTTGTCGATAGTTAAAGACCAAGGTTTATGGTACATTGCGGAATAATAATCTGAAATAGAAAATACTAGTTTAAAAAATAATACTAAATTTTTATTTGCAGCGTAATGAAACTATTTCGATCTCTAAATACAGCCTTGAAGAAAAGTATAAAATTAATTTTATTGTCATTGGTACTGATAAATATCCTTTCAATATTCATACTGCCAAGGATGCGTGCGATGCTTACCATACTGGAGGTACTTAAATCTATCAAATTATAAGGGACAAATTTTTTAATTTCTATAAAACATTCATGTTTTTGAATCTATTGTATATTTTTTAGTTGTACCTGCCGAACCAAAAGAAAGTGATTTTGACATCATAGTTCACAAAAGAAAGCTCACTTCCTATAAGCATCAAAATATAGCCACTATAAAGTTGCACAATAGTACTAATAATAATTGTGAGGTATGGTATTCAATCCAAATGTGCATTCCAGAAAGTAACTGTTTCGGTAGAAATAATCTAAGATGTCAGGATGAATATTTAAATCTTACACTTTTAGCAACACCTATGCTTTGCTACTTTGAGATCTGGACTTGTAATAAAATAGGATGTTCTCCATCAATAAATACCAAATTGTACATAAACTATATACCATCAGGTAAGAACGTCCATTAGGTGGCTGTCATGTACCAACATTTTTTTAGTGTGTAAATTAAAATTCTTTCTTATTTATATAAAAGAATTTTTTTAGGAGGAAATTTTTCTGAATTTATAATAAATATTTCAATTTACAGACTACCTCATCGGACCGGATGGTCCAATTGAAATTTTAAATGTTACGGATACAACATGCACAATCCAATGGGGAATACCAAGAAGTAGTTCCAGTTTTCAAGACAACGGTTATAATCATAAGGGTACAACTCACTTTATATTGTATTATATTCATTCTTATATCGAGGGTGTATCATCTTCTGAGGCTTTTAATACATACCATTATATTGAATCCTCTGTTAAACCAATTTATAAAATTCATGAATTATATCCTAAAAGTAATTATATTATTGAAGTTGGTGTTTTCTACAATAATGATAGAGCTTTAAATACTATACGGACCGTATGTCATACTCTTTAATTATAAATTATTAGTATGTTTTTTTTAAATCCATCGTGATTTATATTATTAAAAATATCTGTTAAGAATGACGATGTTTGTTTCGAATTTCATTCTTAAATTATTTAGAATAATCTATCCTATTTGCAGAAGAATTTTAGTTGTAAGGCACATGTTTTTGGATAGCTTCGTTATTATAAAATATTGATGAAATAAATGTAATTAAATATTAAACGAGAATTAACTTATTTTACAACCTTATAATTCGGAGAGTCTGATTTTGTCAAAATCAGTGGGCATTGAAATTGTATTATGCTTATTTACATTCCCAAAACAATAGTCCTAAAATCATATACATTATTAAATTGTGATAATTGCGCAGTAAATTTACAATGTGCTTCTCATTAGCGTCATTCGCTTCATTTCTGTTTATAATGTTTCAACTATTTAACAATGTAGATCAATCAAATTTCCCATTTCGTAATCATCACAGACAGTAATAATTTGAATTTATAAAAAAATAACTATTTTTAAGAGGTGTACACTGTAGTTTTAATATAAAAACAAGTCTTTTTTAAGAACAGTTTTTAAGATATTACAAATTTTTTTCAAAAATACTGTTTATAACCGAAAAGTACTAGGAGACTGGACATATTTTGAGTTTAAATATTCAAAAAAAGTTACAGCATCATTTGAAGGGAAAAAAATAACAGAGAACTGTTTAGATTTTAAAATGTTACAAATTTTAAAATACATTCGACAAATTATTTTAATACCGACAGATACAAACAATTGTAATTTGATGTAGTTGCATGTAGCAGTCACGACTCTAGAAAAATAAGTTCAAAACTAGTACCAAGTTGTATTGCCCTCTACATCTGTAGACATGCGAAGGAAACTAGAATATTTTGCTTCCAAATTTTGTGCACGAAGCCAATATGCTGGCTTCCCGTAAAAGCAAGTAACCCTGAAGTTCTTGGTGAATTTCAATGATTTTTAAAATTCCCCAAGAATATCAGTTTCAATTTTGATATTCTTCCCTGAGATTTCAAATGTCTTTATTATTAAAAACATACAATTTGATGAAATTCCCTTTTGTAAAATATTAATATTTTTAAATTCATAATGAAATATCCTCGGAAATATCTCGTTAATAATTTATTTTTATTTTCTGTTGCAGGTATGTACCGAATTTTTCATCTACTACTAAACTTTTTCCATTAATCTCGAGTCTTTATATCTTTGGGTAAGTATTTTTTAAAAAATTGAATACAATTATTTATAAATTATAGACGTCAATTTTTTATAAATTTAAGAATAGAGAATTAAATAACTGCAGAACAGATATTGATGATCTTTTAAGATTTTTTTTGTAAAAGATTTCGTATTAAAGTTCAGAACGGCTAAATTCAAAATGGCGAATCCAATATGGCGGCCGAACTTTTAAGAATTCAACGAATTTGTTTAAAACTTGTTACTCAGGGATTTTTTGAGTCGTTGATTGCAAAAAACCATTATTTTTATGGTTTTCCCAATAAAGATGAGCTAGTGGTCAATTTTCATTATGATCTTCGTAATCAGCGCACAAAATTACGTTAGTATAGTGAGTTTCAAAATGATTGACGATTCGAAAGTATACCCTAAGTGTCTAAAACATAAGTATTATTTTTTAAAAATTTATGATTGAACTTTTATTTTTTACACGTTGGCGTGCATCTTGATAAAAAAACCATTAGGAAATAAAATAAAATTCCGGTTTTCACTTCTATAAAAAGGCGAGTGAAACTTGTAGAAAAAATATGCAGTTTACATTTACACAAGATCACATTTTGTTTTTCAAGCCCACAATCATTTTTACTTGTCTTGAAAAAATTTGTTTTTAAAAATGCAAACATTAATTTTCCTTTTTATCACAATTTTTTTTGTTTCCAAAATTATGTGTGATAGTTCATGTTTAGTGGACAGAGATGGAAACGGTAAGTAAGGAAATTATATGTAAAACACAAATTAATAATTTTCAGCTGAGGAAAATTACTTTAAGTACACAGAAAATAAGAAAACTTGTGTGTTACAGACATACTTGTTCGAAATAGTAATGTTTACAAGGTCGAGAAACATGAAGTCTGGTTAACAATTCCTGTAAAAAGTGATGAATATCTAGAAAGAAATTATATAGTTGACATGCAAGAGAAAAATAATTTTTCATTTGCAAAAACCAATAATGTTATTTACATGCAAGCTGTAGATACTTTAGTTATCTTTGTTTCTAGACTTTCTCCAAATACTGAATATAGTTTTCGAGTTGTTGATAAAAGTAAAAATGAATATTACGAGAGCAAACAAGTTACTACAGAGAAGTACAGTATGCATACTATTCAAAAATCTCGAAACAATATAAAAAATATTGAATTGTAATTGATATCCAGTGGGAAAATTTTTTCATCATCAGCATTAATATTTATACAGCAATTATTTTAAATTACTTAAAATTAACATTAATAGAAATGATTTCATATTTTAGGCGGACCTGAAAAACCGAAAGAGAATATGTTTTATATTTCATTTGAGAAGAATGAAGCAATTTTAACTAGAAAAGAGCATTATCATTGGCAAGAAATATCGACATGATACAGTATCCAGTTTGTTCAAGTAGATGGAAATACTGAAAATCTTATTGAAACAGCAGTCTTAGATGCAGATACTAATTCCAATCATTTTACTAATCTCACACAAGGACGTAAATATAAATTTAGAATTAAGGCTCAAAATAGAATGGGAATTTCTGAATCTATAGATACTAGAGAATACATAGCAGGCAACTATGAAAGACCAATTGAGGTCTTAAATTTTACGGACACAACATGCACAATCCTATGGAAGAAACCAACAAATGCGATCAAAGATATGGTTAACAGCATACAAGTTATCGACAAGGGCGACAGAAATATTAAAACACGATATATTTTTGCTTCTTCTGGAAAACCTTTTACTATTTATGACCTTTATCCTGGAAACGATTATGCCTTTTCCGTTTCTACAATGGAGGCACAACTGTCACCGTTTGCTGAAACAGAATGTAGAACTACCCCTGTAAAAGGTACTTATTAATCGTATTAGAAACTGCATTATTACACTTTTCTTATGTTTTCTCATTTTTATTATTAGTTATACCCAAAAAACCTTCAGTGAATTCTTTTAATATTTCATTTTACTATGGAGTTGTCCAAATACAGTTGATTGACGATTCAATTTACGAAGATTGTAAAAAAGTATACAATGTTTTTATTCACAAGAAAGAAGAAGGAGATATTTCAGTAGTACATGATCGAATAACATGCAGAAATTATACAGTCGGTCCTCATTATTTCGAACCAGGAACATATTTTATTATGATCCAGTCCTGTCATACAAGTACAGGATGTTCTGCATTATTAAGAAGCAAAAATTATACTATAGGTTGTAATTCATATTTCTATAATTATACATTCCATAGTTGATGAAATTTATTAGAAACAATAGTAATTAATGTTTATTCTTTCAATTTTTCTTCTTAATTAATTTTTCATGAATTTTAGTAAAAATGAAAGAGCCAACACCATTATTCTACAGAGTATTAAAAACCACGGATGATTCATGCACAATCCAGTGGATGAAAACAAGGAATATGTCAGACATTGTAAGAAGCAAAATATTTCTCATTAATAATCTAATATTGTGCAATAAATTTAATTTTTCTTTGCGACAATTTAATGTACAACAAATAATCATGTTTTTCACGCAGCACTACGAAACTATTTGGTTTTCTAAGAACTCTGTCAATGATGGATATAAAATTAATTTCATTGTCATTGGTACTGACAATCAACCTTTTAATATTCATACTGCCAAGGATGCATGCATTGCTCATCATCAAATAGGTTTGGATGTAAACTTATGATTTTAGAATTAGTATAATTTTTATTTATACAGCAATATTAATTCTCATTGCAGTTTTCTTTGATTGCATTTTAATAACGAAAAAATTTTTTTTTTGCATTTTAATCTTTATAAACATATTTTTTTTTAGTCACACCTGCTAAACCAAAAGAAAGTGATTTTGATATAACATTGCACAGTGTGGATACTTTATTCCCAAAGCGACAAAATATAACCACTATAAAGTTGCACAATAGTACTAATATTAATTGTGAATTATTGTGGTATGCAATTCAAATGTGCATCTCATTAAATACTTGTTTCGATAAGGAAATTTTAAGATGCAATAAGGATTTAAATATCGCATCCACATTTAAACCTGATGTTTACTACTTCAAAATTGCAACTTGTAATAAAATTGGATGTTCTCAATCAATAAATACCAAACTTTTATGATTACATTCCATCTGGTAAGATTCTATATTATAATTACAATTTTTAAAAAGCAAAATTACTTTTTATTTTATTTATAAATAAGTAGACCTTTAATAAACCATCCTTTACCCTTAAGGGTCTCGGTCCTGGAAGTAATTACAATATTATTGTTGGTGTTCTTGACGGTTATAACATAAGCAGAAAAAATATTGGTGAGGAATGCCACATTTCTATTTCTTAACGTATATATTATTAACATAATAAAAATGTTTGCTGGAAAAAAACATTTATTTAAAAAGTGTATGTATTCTATTTAGTTTTTTTTACTTACTAAACCTAAAAAAATACTGTACAACACGATTTTTGAAAATCAATAATCAAATAAATATTATTAAATAATGGATAATATGGACTAATTTATTTTATTCCCTCAATAGTTTATTTCTAAAATTTAAAGGGTTTAATTCAATTATTATTAAAATATTAAATTAAAAAAAAACTATTTAAACTGTACATTTTTTTTAAAGTAAAATATATATATAATTGATTTAAATTTAAAGAATTAGTTTTTAAACACATTTCTTTAAATTTTATTTAACTTTTTAAAAAATTTTAAAACAGTAAAATTTAATAGAAACATTTATCATCGAACAGAAAATGATAAACTTAAAAATATATGAACCAGGTGTACGTTTTTTATAACATTTTGTAACAGTGTAAAATTTAATGTCCATTTTTTTCTATTATAAAGTTATTTGAAACTTAAAGAAATAACTAAAGAATTCCCTTACAAAATTGTTTTTACTTGTCCTAAAAAAGAAGTTTTGAATTAAAAATTTTAAACTTTGAATTTTATCAAATTATATCATTAAAAGCTATCTGTTAAATAACAATGGTTTCAATAATTGTTTCTAATTATATAAAGGGTAGGTGGGAGAAAAAATGGTTTCGTGATCGCGGTCTCATTTAAAAAGAAAAGAATATTAAGAGTTGGGATTTTTTGGTAAATATAGAGAAATGCTCTGGGAACCCCGCTGCTTTCGGAATTTTGCAAAATGTTGATAAATAATTATTGAAAAAATTGTTTAAACATTCGGAAAAGGAGGTTTTTAACGATTGAAAGTGTAGTAATTTGAGATTGAGACATTTCTTTAGTTCAATTTTCGGCCACTACCGAGAATTGGTGCCACCTCCTTGACCACTGACATAGATAAGATATATGTATCATTCTTTAAAAATTCGTGATTGAACTTTTATTTTTTACACGTTGGCGTGCATTTTGATAATAAACAAATCGTTAGGAAATAAAATAAAATTTCTGTTTTCACTTCTATAAAAAGGCGAGTGAAACTTGTAGAACAAATATACAGTTTTCATTTACACATGATCACATTTCGTTTTTCCAGTCCACAATCATTTTTACTTTTTTTGAAAAAATTGCTTTTAAAGATGCAAACATTAATTTTCCTTTTTATTTGTATCACAATTTTTTTTGTTTCCAAAATTATGTGTGATAATCCATGTTTAGTTCCCGGAGAAAAAGTCGGTAAGTAAGGAAATTATATGTAAAACACAAATTAATAATTTTCAGCTGAGGAAAATTACTTTAAGTACACAGAAAATAAGAAACTTGTGTGTTACAGACAAATTTTTCCGAAATATTAACGTTTACAAGATCGAAAAATATCAAGTCTGGTTAACGATTCCTGTGAAAAGTGATGAATATCTGGAAACAAATTATATAGTTTACGTGAAAGAGCAAAATAAATTTTTATTTATAAAAACCAGTAATGTTATTTACATGCAAGCTGCAGATACTTTAGTTATTTTTGTTTCTAGACTATCTCCAAATACTACATACAGTTTCCGAGTTGTTGATAAAAGTACAAATGCATTTTACGAAAGCACAAAAGTTACTACAGAGCAGTCGTACCGTATGTATATTACTCAAAAATCTCGAAACAATATAAAATATTGAATGGTAACTGATATCCAGTGTAAAAAATTTTTCTTCACCATCATTATTATTTTTGTAGCATTATTTTAAATTACTTTTAATTGAGATTATTACAAATGATTTCACATTAAATTTCAGGCAGACCTATTAAACCGAAAGAGAATATGTTTTATATTTCATTTGAGAAAAATGAAGCAATTTTAACTAGAAAAGAGCATTATCATTGGCAAGAAATATCGACATGGTACCGTATCCAGCTTCTTCAAGTAGACGGAAAGAATGAAACTCTTATGGAAACAGCAGTCTTAAATGCAGATACTAATTCCAATCGTTTTACTAATCTCACACAAGGAAATAAATATAAATTTAGAATTGAGATTCATAATGGAACGAGATTTTCTGAATCTATAGATACTAGAGAATACATAGCAGGCAACTATGAAAGACCAATTGAGGTTTTAAACTTTACTGACACAACATGCACAATCTTATGGAAGAAACCAGCAAATGCGACCAAAGATATGGTTTACTATATACATGTTATCGACAAGGGCGACAGAAATATTAGGACACGTTATATGTTTGCTTCTCCTGGAATACCTCTTACTATTTATGACCTTTATCCTGGAAACGAATATGCCTTTGCCGTTTCTACAATGGAGGCAATACGTTCACCGTTCGTTGAAACAGATTGTAGAACTACGCCTGTAATAGGTACTTATTAATCTTATTAGAAAATGCATTATTACAGTTTTTTCATGTTTTATAATTTTTATTTTCAATTAACCCCAGAAAACCTTCAGCGAATTCTTTTAATATATCATTCGAGTATGGAGTTGTTCAAATACAGTTCATTAACTACTTAATTTACGAAGATTGTGAAAAAGTATACAATGTTTTTATTTTCAACAAAGAAAAACGAAATACTTTAGTAGTATATGATCAAATAACATGCAGAAATTATAAAGTCGGTCCTTATTATTTCGAACCAGGAAAATACTTTATTATGATCCAGGCCTGTCATACAGATTCCAGATGTTCTGAATTTTTAAGAAGCAGAGAATATACTATAGGTTGTAACTGATATTTCTATAATTATACACTTCATAGTTGACAAAATTTATTTGAAACAACTGTAATCAAAGTTTATTCATTAAATTTTTTTCTTTAATAATTCTTATAAATTTTAGTAAAAATAAAAGAACCAACACCATTATTCTACAGAGTATTAAAAACCACGGATGATTCATGCACAATCCAGTGGATGAAAACAAGAAATATGTCAGACATTGTAAGCAAAAATGCGTTTGTCAATACTAATATAATATTATACAAAATTAAAATGCTAGTTTACATTTAAGAAGATTTTTGATAAATTTTATCTGGCATAATTTAAGTAATTATTGGATTATTAATTTATTGATGTTAAAATAGCAAATAATTTTCAAGTCATTAACATTTTGTGTTCAAATTATTAAAAGAATAAGTTCGGTTGGGCGTTCCCTTTTGTTTTTGACTCATAACTTGTGCCCAAGTAAATATTAAGCAAACATATGCATTTGTGTGACCGCGTCTGAGAAAAGGGACCTTATGACCAAAAAATCGATTTTTAGATTTAGACGGTTTTACATTTGACAAATATCATTTCTGTTAAAAGTACTGTTAAAAAGTACCATCATCCGAATCTCTTCCCCTATATAATTAGATATATTAACGAAGCACAAAGAAAATTTGTTCGTCAAGAAGCAAGCAGACTAGTTAACAACAATAATGTTTTTCTGATTGAGAGAATATCTTCTTCTTTGTGCCAACTTAATATACAACATATAACACATTTTTTTAAGCAGCATTCTGAAACTATTCGGTTTTCTAAAAATTCTATCAATGATGGATATGAAATTAATTTCATTGTAATTGGTACTGACAATCAACCTTTTAATATTCATACTGCCAAGGATGCATGCATCGCTCATCATCAAATAGGTTTGGATGTAAACTTATGATTTTAGAATTAGTATAATTTTCATTTATCCAGCAATATTAATTCTGATTACAGTTTTCTTGGATTGCATTTTAATCTTTATAAACATATTTTTTTAGTCACACTTGCTAAACCAAAAGAAAGTGATTTTGATATAACATTGCACAGTGTGGATACTTTAATCCCAAAGCGACAAAATATAACCACTATAAAGTTGCACAATAGTACTAATATTAATTGTGAATTATTGTGGTATGCAATTCAAATGTGCATCTCATTAAATACTTGTTTCGATAAGGAAATTTTAATATGCAATAAGGATTTAAATATCGCATCCACATTTAAACCTGATGTTTACTACTTCAAAATTGCAACTTGTAATAAAATTGGATGTTCTCAATCAATAAATACCAAACTTTTATGATTACATTCCATCTGGTAAGATTCTATATTATAATTACAATTTTTAAAAAGCAAAATTACTTTTTATTTTATTTATAAATAAGTAGACCTTTAATAAACCATCCTTTACCCTTAAGGGTCTCGGTCCTGGAAGTAATTACAATATTATTGTTGGTGTTTTTGACGGTTATAACATAAGCAGAAAAAATATTGGTGAGGAATGCCACATTTCTATTTCTTAACGTATATATTATTAACATAATAAAAATGTTTGCTGGAAAAAAACATTTATTTAAAAAGTGTATGTATTCTATTTAGTTTTTTTACTTACTAAACCTAAAAAAATACTGTACAACACGATTTTTGAAAATCAATAATCAAATAAATATTATTAAATAATGGATAATATGGACTAATTTATTTTATTCCCTCAATAGTTTATTTCTAAAATTTAAAGGGTTTAATTCAATTATTATTAAAATATTAAATTAAAAAAAAACTATTTAAACTGTACATTTTTTTTCAAGTAAAATATATATTTAATTGATCTAAATTTAAAGAATTAGTTTCTAAAAACATTTCTTTAAATTTTATTAAACATTTTAAAAAATTTCAAAAAAAAGTAAAATTTAATAGAAACATTTATCATCGAACAGAAAATGATAAACTTAAAAAAATACGAAACAGGTGTACGTTTTTTATAACATTTTGTAACAGTGTGAAATTTAATGTTCATTTTTTTCTATTATAAAGTTATTTGAAACTTAAAGAAAAAACTATATATTTTCCTTACAAAATTGTTTTCATTTGTCCTAAAAAAAGTTTTTTCTTATTTCAAAAATGCGGTCCTTTATTTTCGGTTACTTAATATCTCAGGCCCAAAAACCCGCGAGAGTGTCAAACTATTCTGATTTGTTCGCCATACTCTGTTCGTCATATTTTATCCGAAATTTTGAATTTGGAAATTTTTACATGAAATATATTTAACCGACTTTAAAAAATCACTATAATTATATATGGAATATCCCATATGTTAATTATCATTTGGTATTGTTAGAAAATGTGTTCACAGCATTTATCTTTTTAACTCTCATGATAACCTTAGGTTACTATTGTATTTTATATGAACTGTATATTTTGTAAATTTTCCTTGGAGTGCTCATTAGCCCTAGAACTTCAAATACTTGAAATAAGTTTACTCAAGATAGTTTTAAAACTGTCTTGAGTAAAGTATTTTTCTTAATAAATAAGTAATTTATGTTTTAACAAAAACAATTTAATGTTTCTCTTAAAAAACAAAAAAAGCAATTAACCTACAAAAAATAAAGAAAAATTGAGCTTTCTTTTAATTCCTTCCTTAGATGATTTTTGTCTTCAACTTAATCTAATCAATTTGAATAACTGAGAAGAAATTAGTGGGGGGGCACTTTTGGGTTAAACTTAATTCAAGCTCATCGTGACTTCTCGGACGAAATGGATTAAAAAAAAATCAGCCAGAGAAGCAGACGCAATATAAAGTTCTATTTATGATACCTTTGAGTAGGAATGACAACAAAAAACTGAATGGAATAAAAACCAAATTTTAAACAATTATTTTAATTGTATATTCTTAAACATGGGAGAGTGGTGAATTTATAATTATTTAACATATTTCAAAATTTTGTATTATGAATCTAATTTTTGAATACTGTTAGATGCATTTTAATGAACATTTGTACATTGTCGTCTCACTAAAATGATAAATTAAATTTTCTGTTGCAGGTATGTAACAAATTCTCCATCTTCTATTGCACTCATCCCATTATTCATTCGAGTCTTTACAAACCTTTGGTAAGAACATTATATGTATATCTGCATCATATAGGATTATATTCAACAATTGCATGAAATTCATAACATAGTTTTCCCTCTCGGCTTAATTGAATCCCTCGCCAAAAACCTTCTCTCACTTATAAATGAGTATCGCAACGAACTTCATTATTCCGTAATTCTTACTCTTTCTCTCTCTCTATCTATCTCTGCGCGCATACACGTATACACATCCGAGTCAAATAGTAAAACAACACGTGACACGCGAATTAACATTCATAAGCTTAATTAAAATTATCAAAAAGGAAACTTTTTTTTTTGACGTTCTTCATGAAATAAAAAAATTTGATATTCTTGTTTCATATAATATAATTTTTTTAAGCATAAATATTTTTTTTAATTCTTTAAAAAGAAATAGTCAAATTCAAAGGGAGGGAAAATTAGTAACATACATTACTGTCTATTGTTACTTATAATATACTTTGTAGATAATTTCCTTTTGTAGAAGTTATAGAAGAGAATACAATGGAAATAATTTCTATCAGAAATATTAATGTTTACTTTCCTTTTGTAAAAAATTGAAGGGGCGAGTATAACGTAAATTTAAAAATTAATACTTTGAACGACCTATATAAAAAATTCAATTAAAAATAATATTCTTTGATTACAATATAAATAATAAATTATTGTATATTATGTGACGTATGACTTTAAAAATAAATCTAAATGTTCTGCTAAACGCCAGACAAAATCCGACGATTTCAAGAAAATAATAATATGAAATTTAAGTTAATAAATTTCGCCTTCAGGCGCCAATTAATTTTTAAGCTCAATTAATAAACTACAATCAATTCCTTAACAACAACCCGACAAACAACAACACCTCTGAGACGCTCTCAATCGTCAGAGGAAATTCTGCCTGAACAAGTCGGCAAGCAGAAATGCCAACGACGAGACACGACTGGCACAACGCTGGCTCAATACTGAGTCATCATCTCTTTCTAACAATGAGCGGCTCTGCCCTCTAGCACTTTCTCTCCTACTAACTAGCCGCGCGACACACATTCACCACTAATAGTGGGTCACTCGGCAGTTTCGACTTTCTAATTTACCATACCAATTAACAATCACGGTTCAGGGAAAATTCCGACAGATGACGTGACGATTCACATCGTCACAATTAGAATAATAATTTTCTGTATATCCATTCGGATTGAATTTAATTTTATAAATATAAAAATAAGCTCAGAATGTCTCTTCCACAATAAAAATGTGTGAATAATTCACGTTATTTAATCATTTATAGACTTTTATACACGGTAAAATCGATTTTCGCCAGGAGAAGAAAAAAATATATACACATTTTTTCATCGACAAAAGTATTGTGTTCGTGGAAAAAAAGGTACACGCGATGTGGGAGAGTAAAAAAAAAAGAAAAAAGTTTCTCTGTGTATGTGTATTTGAAGCTCTTGGAATAACATCATCATGATATCGCAGTTACTTTTTCCTCCTAATGTTCCGCATATCGATGATGAAAGTAGGTCGCAACGTTGCGGCAAAGATATGCGCATGAAAATTACCGTCGAGACTTGCTTCTGTGGGCGATTTGCAAAATTCGAAACTTACTACCTGCAGAACACTTCCTATCGCCATCCACTTTGCCGACCTAAATCGTCTCCACCCTCTATCACTATCAAGACAAACTACTATGTATGTTTCAACAAGAAAAGGTAAAATGATCGCTTCGACGTTTCGCATTTATGGAAAAATTCTCCTCTATTTGAAGAAAAAGAAATTGCTTTTAAATGTTTAATGAAATGGTCAAACGGAAAAAAGGGTATTTAATTATTTGAAAATGAGTGATTGGAAATTTGTTCTTTAATGTTATTTTATTTCGATAACTGAATTAAAATAATCGAGAGCAATATGACTTCCTGTTGGCGAAGCTTTAGTTTCCCCACTTTTTCTCTCTTAATGGGTTAATAGTGCATAAGAGATTTCCATGTGGGCGTGGCTACAGTCCCCCACCCTCTCCTGAAGAAAAAAAACTTTAACTTTAACTTTAACTTTTTTATTTCCCACCTTCCACTCACACTTTCACTTCCACCTTCGACTCTCACTTCCCACCTTCCACTTTCCACTCACGCTGCCCACATTCCATTCCCACTCTTACTTCCCACATTTCACTTCCCACCTTCCATTCACACTTTCCATTCCCCACTTTCACGTACCACTCCTAATTTCACTTCCCACATTCTTTTTCCACTTTTAACTCCTATTTTCCAATCTCACTTCCCACAATCTATTCCTACTTTCACTTCCCACTCACACTGTCACTTCACACCTTCCACTCACTTTCCATTCCCCACTTTCACTTACCACTTCTAATTTTACTTCACACATTCGTTTTCTACTTTCAACTCCCTTATTTCCACTCTCACTTCCCACTTTCGTTTTTCACTTTCAACTCCTATTTTCCATCTCACTTCCCACAATCCATTACCACTTTTCATCCCACTTACACTTTCACTTCCCACCTTTCACTCACATTCCATCCCCCACTTTCACTTACCACTTCTAAGTTCACTTCCCACATTTGTCTTCCACTTTCAACTCCTTATTTCCACTCTCACTTTCCACCTTCCACTTCCTACTTATGTTTTCCACTTTCAACACCTATTTACCACTCTTACTTCCCACAATCCATTCTCACTTTTACTTCCCACTCACACATTCCATCCCCCACTTTCACTTACCATACCTAATTTCACTCTCACTTCTCACTTTCGTTTTCCACTTTCAACTCTTAATTTACACTCTCACCTCCTACTATTCAGTTCCATTACTCACTTTCCACTCCTAATGGTGGGGAAGTGAAAAGTGGGAATGAAAAGTATGAAGCGAGAGTGGAAGGTAGGAAGTAGGAGTTGAAAGTGAAAGTGGAATGTGAAGGTAGGAAGTAAAAGTGGGATTAGGAAGTGAATGGTGGTATGTGACAGTGGGAGTAGAAAGTGAAAGTGGGAAGTGTTAGTAGAAGATGGGAAGTGGATGGTGGGATGTGAGAGTGGGAATGGAAAGTGGGAAGTGAGAGTGGAAAATTGGAAGTGTTAGTAGAAGGTGAGAAATGAAAGTGGGATTGGGAAGTGAATGTTGAGAGTGTGAGTGAAAGTGAGTGGTGAGAGTGTAAAGTGGGAAGTGTTAGTAGAAGGTGGGAAGTGAACGTGGGATTGGGAAGTGGATGGTGAGAGTGGGAGTGAAAGTGAGTGGTGAGAGTGTAAAGTGGGAAGTGTTAGTAGAAGGTGGGAAGTGATAGTCAGATTTGGAAGTGGATGGTGGGATGTGAGAGTGGTAGTAGAAAATGGGAGATGGAGTGAAAAGTGGGAAGTGTTAGTAGAAGGTGGGAAGTGAAAGTGAAATCAGGAAGTGGGTAGTGGGATGTGAGAGTGGGAAGTGGAAAAGTTACAGAATCGACGGCGTCTCTTACCG